CAACCTCACTTCTCATGCTCGGAGTTAGTTTTTGACTTCACATTCCTTCATCTTGAATGGTTTCCTCGAAATATGTATCTTTACTTTTGCAAGAAAGTACTCTGGTTGCTCCCGGTGTCCATAGGGGCATAGATGCACAATTCTTCAGAATCTTTTTCATTTCTTAGGGTGTTTTTCGTAAATATCTTTTGAAGATATTTTATTCTAGGGGCATCTAAGAAAATATCTTTTGGAAGATATTTTCATTCTGGGGCAATTTCGCAGTTAACCCTTTTTGTAGGGGCCATTATGCAATTAACGAAAGTTATTGCAAAAATGTCTCGTCTGGAGCCTGGATCCTCGTACGGGATTCATTTTCACTTTTTGTTGACTCGTAAATTCATAGAATTTCCTTCTGGTCATTTTTCTGCAGTTTCAGAGTTTTTGGACCTAGTTGCCGCCGAACTTGTTCGAGGCATAACTTACTGCTCGGGACTTAGTTTTCAATGCCGTTTCTTTCATTCTTTATATTTTCTCATTTTGAATCTTTTTTGTTCATAGAGTTTTGCTGTTTGAGCGCGTTTGCTCAAAATCCACTTTTCAGACCCGACGAGGCCCTTTCGGGGCAGTTTTTGAGACTTACTATAAATAGGATGCCCTAAAGTGAAAAATTAGATTTTGGTCATCTTCCCCACCTCTCTTGGCCGGATCTCCTAGCAGCCATGGCTGCCACTTTCTCTCTCCTCCTTTGGTCCACTTTTCCTTGGTATAAATCCTTCGGCCTTAGCATTTATTGCTTCCCTCGACGTGCTCTACCTTTTACCCTTATTAGAATCCATTTCCGACGATTTTTTGATTTCGGGTTTGGAGGCAAGTTGAGATTTTGATGGGGCTTCTTGCGGATTCTTGTTCACGGTGTTGTCCCCGACAAAACCTCTCAATATCGTTGAATTCAGAGCACTTTTATTTTGGTGGGCCTTTGGGATTTTTATCTCAAATTGAGGTAGGAGGTGTTATAGGTTTAATTCTTGTTATATAACATGCTATTGATGCTTATACAACTTGATTGTATGCTTAAATATAAAATCTAGAGATTTTATTATTTAATTTTCTTGTATTGGATTTGATTTTCCCGGTTGCTTATGACTTGTTTTAAAGATGTTGCATGGTAATATAATACTCTATAATATAGTCATTGACATATATTAAATTGAAAGAATTGAAACAAGTAATAAAGATTTTATTTAATATTTATCTTGAATAAAATATTAAATCATATGGCCCTAACTAGCTTAAAATGAATATGTGTTAGCATATTAAATTAGGCCTTAGTATGCTCTCCCACATAGTTGAATTTGAAAGTGATTGGAGGTGTTTCGAAAATTAGTAATTATAACTAAATATACCCCGAGTGCACTATTCACTCTATTTAAATTCCGACTTGATATTCTTGATTTACATGCCATATAGCTTTACATATATTTGATTTAAAATATTCGGTTAGGTTTTGAAACCGTTTATTTAATTGAATTCCATGTTTAAGATTTAATCCTCATGGTGATATACAACTTGGAATTGAATTGTGGCATGCTAGAAAATTAAGTTTTGGTGTGGTTGTTCACATATATTAAATTGGGGTTTTTTGTATGAGAATTGCAACCTTTATTTTATATTTAACTTTAGTGAAAGTTTAATTTACATAGGTGTAACTTGCATGAAATAAGCTTGTAATATGATATTACATTAGTCCTTGGCTTGTTCTCTAAGATATGTTAAATTGAAAGCATTTGGTTAAGTTTGAAAATCTAGATATTTTAATTAAAAGAATTAATTAAAATCTATTTTGTGGTCCCATTAGCTTAATTAAGATTTTAACTTGATATTTGTATTGGCCATCACTTGTTTACTAGTATATATTAATTGTGGACCATTTGAAGTTGCTTTAGAACCTTGGTAATTAAATTAGCATGATTTAATTAGAGTTCTACTTTGTTATTCCAATAACCTAATTGAGTTTTAGAATGGATATAGGTGATGACCATGCCATGTTCTTTAATATGTATTAATTTGAGGTTATTTGGAATTGAACTAGAATCTAGGGAATTTAATTATTTTTATTTAATTAAATTCTATCGAATTGAGCCATGATAAGTGCTTAAATGTTGCACATTTCAGCACCTAAGCTAAGGTATTTCAGTCTTTGCATCTATCTTAATTTTATGTTTTAGTCCTAATTTATGTTTATGTGTATTTCAGGGCACTAAAGTTAAAATGAACTAAGAATGGCCCAATTAAGCCTTTTTGGAGTTAAGCAAAGATTTTCAGACAATGGCACAAAGCGGTCAATTTCGGGCCTTTGATGATGTTCCCAAAGATGGAGAGGCAAACCAAATAGCCCGGGGCAAAAATGGAGCTGAATAAGGCTTAAAGGAATTTGTCAACTCTGGGGGGATCGATCCCCAGGGTGGGGGATCGATCCCCCAGGACTTAGCAACATTACAGTTTTTATTTAATTTTTGGGCTCATTTTGGGAACTGTTGGGCTTTAATGAGATTGTTACTTAAGGCCCAGTGAGCCATTAGATTAGGGTTAGTTTTAGTTTTTATTTAGGTAAATATTATTAGAGAAAGGAATTAAGTTTTATTTTATTATTTTTCTGTATCGTAGTATCGTATTTTCTCTCTGGAAAAACACGCGAAAAAAGAGAAAAAGCAAGAACAGGTTAGGGTTTGGAAGAAAAAGTTCAGAGAAGATGAAACAGATGATGGGGATTGTCCTGTCTTCGACTCCATCAACCATGAGTGGCTGATTCTTCTACTTAGGGTTGGATAAACCCTAAGCATGTAACCTATTCTCTCTCTCTTTTCATACTTTTTGGGGATTAATTTATGTAATTAGTGTATAGTCTTGAATATTATGAATTAAATTCTGCTAATTGATTATCTATATTAATCTCATATTGTCTTATGTGTGGTTGATTGATAAACAAATTTTACACATGAATTCTTTGTTAATTGATTCTTGTGATGGCTATGCACGGTATTGCTTAGTTGTAATTGTGTTTCAAATTGATGAAAAATGCTTTCATTTGATGGATGGTACTACATGTTTAGGTTAATTTGTTGTTTAATTAGTTTTAAATTCATGTTTAATTAGTTTAATTTAAGTTTAATTAATTTAATTGCAATTCAATTATTAGGTAAATAGACCATCCATACTTATGTTTGAATTCCATACTTTTTGTCATAATTGCATTATCTTCTAGATTAATGTGTGTTAAATTTGAAACTTGGATTGATAAATCATGCTTTGAATGGGTGAATTGCACTACACTTAGTTTAATTGTCATTAGGTAGTTGATTCATGCTTGAAATTGATGGTTTACACTTTTCATTGCACTTGTTAGCCACATATAGATTACATAGTATTATTTCCCCAATTAGTTGAAAGTGAGTGAGTTAGGGAATGTGCTTAGTGGTGAATCCTACACCCTAAGTCTCTTTCCAATCTCTTAAACTCTATTTCTTTTTTGCAATCATTTAGTTTAAAATTAGTTTTAATCACAAACAAAACCCTTTTGGCAATCACAGAAGCACTAAAGTATAATTCAATTATGGAAAACCTATAATTGTTTAGATCTCTTGGGACGATCCCTGCTCACTTCATACTCCATAGTATAAGTGTTTAGTGGTTTTATAAATTTTAAAATATGGTGCCCACTTGACATTATTTCTAAACCTAAAGTGTTGTGCATTATTTTGTGCACACGCTCGGTCGCACCATAGTTTTGGCGCCGTTGCCGGGGATCTAACGGTTTTGAAGAATTGAATTAAACATTAGTTCTTTGTTGATTGTCTACTTTTAAGTCATTTTAATTTTTAATTTTTTTTTTTTTGATTTGTCAATTAGGTACTTGAAGCAAAGTGGAGCAAACGCTGGACTTAGAAGCAATTAAAAAAAGTTGAAGTTGCTTAAGGACCATCTGTAAGTTCTCTTTAATTTTAGTACTTTAATTGTATACCAATTTGCATGCTGTGGACAGCCCAAGTGGAGGCTTAAATTGAATTGTTTTATTTTTAAGTCCAAGCATACATTCTTATAGAAGGCATCGGCCCGTGTGGAGGCATTTATTTGTTTTAAGTGCATTGATATTATTGAGGAGTTTGGGAACATCGTATGTGGAGGTTGAAATTTTGAAATGTTAGTGTGTTGACTTGTTCTAGTGCATGCATGGTCGTAGATCACTTAATCGTCCTCTTGCTCCTGTAAATCAAAATCTTGAAATTTTTCTTCGGCGTTTAAGAAGTAGTACTAGGGATTGTCATCTTAATCTTTCAAATTTTGATCTTCCATCACCTTTAATGGAAGATCCAATTGAAGATCCCATTGTAGATCTTGGTTATGTGGATCATAATGGTGTGCACCACCCACCACAAGTTCATATTGTGGATCCTCAAGGTGTGCATCCACCCTTGGGAATGCCACAACCAGTTAATCATGCGGTGCAACAACCTAATCTAGGGATGCCAAGGCCAAATGTTGTTCCCCCAATTGGTGAGCAACAACAACAATATGTTCAAATGGCATACCCTCAACAAGGTCAAATGGCATATCATCAACAAGGTCAAATGCCATATCCTCCTCTCAATCCTCTCAATCCTCCAATGGTCCTTAGGGATCGTTACACTCCAAATCAATATAATGCACCCACTTGCATTCAATTGCCAAATTTCCGTGCTCATCATTATGAGATTAAGGCTTCCACCATTAACATGTGCCCCCTTTTCTATGGGTTGAGCAATGAAGAGCCTTATAAACATTTAGATGAGTTTTTAGAAGTCTGCTCCATCGTGAAAATCACGGATGTTCCGGAAGAAGTCCTAAAAATGAAGCTTTTCCCTTTCACTCTTCGGGATAAAGCTAAATATTGGTTCAATAACTTGCGGCCAAATACAATCACCTCTTGGGCACAATTGCAACAAGAGTTCTTAAAAAAGTATTACCCCGCAAGTCGAACTGATGCCATGAGAACTTCCATTCGTGAATTTAAACAACAAAAAGGAGAACCCCTTCATGAAGCATGGGAACGTTTGAATGACTTGCTACGGAAGTGTCCACATCATGACATTCCTAAGTGGCAATTAGTTCAATGTTTCTTTTCAAGTTTATCCGATGCCAATAAGGGCATTGTTGATGCTTCTTGTGGCGGAAGCTACATTGAAAGAAATGAAGATGAAATTTGGCAACTTTTCAAAAAAATGAGTGAAAACTCAATGCATAGATCTTCATCTTCTAGGGGTAGTCACCTAGCACATATGGGAGGAAAGAAAGCTATAAATCAAATAGACTCTTCCATGGAAATTGCCGCTGAGGTCAAAAATCTTACTCAAAGGTTTGATACATTCCTTTTGAATCAAGGTCCGGCAACTCAATCATATCCTCACCATTCCAATGAAATGTGCATGACTTGTTCTAGTTACACTCACCATACTTCAAATTGCCCTCTTGGACAAATTATACCAAGTGAGTCTCAAGAACAAGCAAATGCTGCTTTCATTCATCAAGGGAACAACCCTTATTCCAATACTTACAATCCGGGGTGGAAAAATCATCCAAACTTTGCATGGAGAAATCAAGGAGACGGTGCAAACCCTCTTCAAACTCAAGGTTACCAAGCAAAGTATGTTCCCCCACATCTCCAAAATCAAAATCAGAATTCTCAAGGTTACCGTCCTTCATTTTATCCTCAAAATGTGAATCAATATTCTCATCCACAAGCATGAAATCCTCAGTCCTACTCTCATCCTCAAGCATCAAATTCTCAATCTTACTCTAATCCAAATCAAGCGCCTCCTAAGAGTTCTGCTTTTGAGGACAAAGTCTTGCAAGCTTTAGGTAATCTTCAAAAAGATAATCAACTGTTTCATTCTCACTCTCAATCAATTGCAAAGCTTGAAGCTCAAATTGGGCAATTAGCTAATTCTTTAAATGTGAGAGAGAAATGTAAGTTGCCTAGTCAAACTGAGACCAATCCTAAAGGGCAATTTATGGCGCAAGCAAGTCCTTCATCAGAATTTTCTGGAAATGAGCAAGTTCAAGCAATTACTACCTTGAGGAGTGGTAGGAAAGTGGATAATAAGGTAGAGGTAACTAAGGAGGATAATGAATTGGCACAACCAAGTGGTTGCATCCATCCCATTCCAAACTCTATTCCAATTTCCTTGGATGCTAGTGGTTCTAAAAAGGACATTCCATTATCTTCATCATCATCTCCCCAATTAGAGAAGCCTTATGAGCCAGAAGCTCCATTTCCTCAAGCTTTGAGAGAGACTTCATCATTTGGGAGACAAGAAGGGAAAATTCATGATATGATGGAAGTGTTTAAACAAGTAAAAATCAATCTTCCTCTTCTAGATGCAATTAGGCAAATTCCACCATATGCAAAGTTCTTGAAGGACTTGTGCACACAAAAGAGGAAGAGCAAGGGAAGGGACCTTAAGAAAGTGCTTTTAACAGAACAAGTGAGTTCCATCATTCTTTCTAACACTCCTCCTAAGTTCAAGGATCCGGGTGCTCCGACCATTTCTTGTGTTATTGGAAACCAAGAGGTTCGTAGAGCTCTCCTTGATTTAGGTGCAAGTATCAATCTCATTCCATACTCTATTTACTTGCAGTTAGGGTTAGGGGACTTGAAGCCAACATCGGTAGTAATCCAACTAGCCGATAGATCAATTAAGAAACCAAGGGGAATTGTTGAGGATATTCTAATTAAGGTTGATAAATTTTATTTCCCGGTTGATTTTGTAGTACTAGATACTGAGCCAGTCCCTAATCTCACCAATCAGATTCCAGTCATCCTAGGAAGGCCATTCCTTGCCACTGCCAATGCCACCATTAATTGTAGATCCGGCATTATGGATATCTCATTTGGCAACATGATGGTTAAACTTAATGTATTCAATGCGAGTCAACATCCCACAGATGAAGACGAGTGTTTCCTAGTGGATGTCTTGGATGAAACCATAGAAGAGACTCTTCCCTCTATTCTATCTAAGGACCCTCTTGAGGCGTGCCTTTGTGAAATGTTTGAAAGTTGTGGTTTTGACACAGAAGGATCCATAAGTGAGGTGAATGCTTTAATGGACTCTGTGGCCACTTTGGATTACCCACCTTGGAAAAGCAAGAAAGAACCTCTTCCTTCACTCTCTAGTACTCCACCAGTTCCATCTCTCATCTCTCCTCCTATTCTTGACCTTAAGCCGCTTCCATCAAATCTGAAATATGCCTTCTTAGGCCCAAAAGAGACTCTTCCGGTCATCATTGCTTCCAATCTTGAAAATGACTAAGAGAATGATCTTTTGGAAGTGCTTAAAGCTAACAAAGAAGCCATTGGATGGAGTGTGGCTGACCTAAAAGGCATTGACCCTTCTATTTGTATGCATCGCATACACATGGAAGAGGATGAAAGGCCATTTAGGGATGCTCAAAGGAGATTGAACCCAAATATGAAGGAAGTTGTCATGAAGGAGGTTGTGAAACTTCTAGATGTAGGAATCATTTATCCTATCTCTGATTCCAAATGGGTTAGTCCAACTCAAGTGGTTCCCAAAAAGTCAGGAATCACAGTTGTTGAAAATGGTAAGGGTAATCTCATCTCGAAACGCACCGCCACTTCATGGCGTGTTTGCATAGATTACCGAAAGCTGAATTCTGCCACTAGGAAGGACCATTTTCCATTGCCTTTCATTGACCAAATCTTGGAAAGATTGGCTGGGCAACAATACTATTGCTTCCTAGATGGTTACTCGGGGTACAATCAAGTGGCCTTAGATCCATTGGACCAAGAAAAGACCACATTCACATGTCCTTTTGGTACATTTGCTTATCGACGGATGCCTTTCAGATTGTGCAATGCTCCTGCCACTTTCCAAAGGTGTATGATGTCAATTTTTTCGGACATGGTGGAGAAGTATTTAGAAGTCTTCATGGATGACTTCTCGATTTTTGGGTCCTCATTTGATTCGTGTCTCCAAAATCTCAAAAAAGTGCTTCAAAGATGTCGTGAGACTAATCTTGTGTTAAGTTGGGAATAGAGCCATTTCATGGTTCAAGAAGGAATCGTGCTTAGACATGTCATCTCTAAAAGAGGAATAGAAGTAGATAGAGCGAAAGTTGAGCTAATTTCTGAATTGTCTCCACCTACTACGGTGAGAGAAATTCGCTCCTTTCTAGGACATGCCGGTTTTTATCGCCAATTCATCAAAGACTTTAGCAAAATTCTAGACCCTTGTGTAACCTTCTTGCCAAGGAGACTCCATTTGTCTTTGATGAAGCATGCCTAAATGCTTTTCATCAACTTCGCACTCTTCTATCATCCGCTCCTATCATGCAACCTCCAAATTGGTCCTTACCATTTGAGATTATGTGTGATGCTTCCGACTTCGCAATGGGTGCTGTTTTGGGGCAAAGGGTAGGTAAACCACCATATGCTATATACTATGCGAGTAAGACTTTCTCAGGTGCCCAATTGAACTATTCTACCACCGAGAAAGAGTTACTTGCCGTAGTATATGCCCTTGATAAATTTCGGTCATATCTCTTAGGATCCAAGGTAATTGTGTTTTCCGATCATGCCGCTCTTAGGCATCTTTTAATGAAAAAGGAAACCAAACCTCGCTTGATAAGATAGATTCTACTTCTTCAAGAATTTGACTTTGAAATCAAAGATAAAAAGGGCTCCGAAAATGTCGTTGCCGATCATCTGTTTAGATTAATGGTTGAATCTTCTCCAAATCTTGAAATTCATGAATCATTTCCGGATGAATAACTCTTTCAAATCTCAAATGGGACGTTGCCTTGGTTCGCCGACATTGTTAACTATCTTGCAACCAGCAAACTTCCCATTAATTGGTCAAAACAAGAAAAGGACCGATTCTTTGCTAACATCCGGAAATACTATTGGGAAGATCCCATTCTATTTCGTTATTGCCCGGATCAAATCATCAGGAGATGTGTGCCGGAAAGTGAAGTTCCGAGCGTCCTTGCGTTTTGTCACACACTTGCTTGTGGTGGGCATTTTAGTGGAAAAAAGACCGCTTTGAAGGTTCTTCAAAGTGGGCTCTTCTGGCCCACTATCCACCGAGATGCCTATAACTTTTGTAAGGTGTGTGTTCGGTGTCAAAAGTTGGGATCAATGTCAAAGAGAGACATGATGCCCTTAACTTCAATCTTTGTAGTTGAAATCTTCGATGTATGGGGCATAGACTTTTTGGGACCATTCCCAATGTCTTATGGCTTTCAATACATCCTCGTTGCCATTGATTATGTTTCAAAGTGGGTTGAGGCTTGTGCTACCAAAATGAATGACCATTCCGTGGTAATTGCATTCGTTAAATCAAATATCTTTGCTCGTTTTGGTATGCCAAGAGCTTTGATAAGTGATGGAGGAAAACATTTCTGTAATCAATTCTTGAAGCAACTTTTCTTGAAATACTCCGTCACACATAAGTGGCCACTCCCTACCATCCCCAAACAAGTGGGCAAGTCGAGGTGTCAAATAGGGAAATCAAGCATATTCTTGAGAAAACTGTCAATCCGACCCGAAAAGATTGGTCAAGAAAATTGAACGATGCTTTGTGGGCTTACCGGACAGCTTACAAGACTCCAATAGGCATATCTCCATATAGACTTGTTTATGGGAAGCCTTGTCATCTTCCGGTTGAGCTAGAACACAAAGCACTTTGGGCAATAAAAAGGCTCAACTTTGATCTTGATAAGGCTGGAAAGGACCGTTTACTCCAACTCAATGAGCTAGAGGAATTGAGAAATGATGCCTATGATAGTTCAAAAAATTACAAGGCAAGGACAAAAGCATTTCATGATAAACATATTGTGAAAAAGTCCTTTGAAGCCGGTCAAAAGGCTTGGTTATTCAACTCTAGGCTCAAATTTTTCCCTGGAAAGCTTCGAACCAAATGGGAAGGCCCTTATCAAATTATCTCCGTCTCACCTCATGGGGCTGTTGAACTTAAAAATCTAAAAGATGAAGGGACCTTCAAAGTTAATGGTCAAAGGCTTAAACCATACATTGATGGACAAAATTTTCAAAGAAATGTGGAATCTGCCCTC